TCTTGGCTAGTACTTTGGCTCTTGGCTAGTACCTTAGCTTGGCTACTACCTCAGCTCTTGGCTAGTACTCTGGCTCTTGGCTAGTACTTTTGCTCGGCTAGTATTTTTGCTTGGCTAGTACTTTGGCTCTTTTCTAGTACTTCGGCTGATGGGTAGTACTTTAGCTCTATGCTAGTACTCTGGCCCTTGGCTAATACTTTGGCTCATGGCAAGTACTTTTGCTTGCCTAGTACTTTTGCTCTTGGCTTGTACTCCTGGCTCATGGCTAGTACTTTTGCTAGGATAGTACTTTCCTTGGCTAGCACTCCTGCTCTTGCGTAGTACTCTTCCTTGCCTAGTACTTTTAATTTTGGATAGTACTTTGGTTGTTGGCTCGTACTTTGACTCTTGGTTAGTACTTCGGCTCATGGCTTGCACCTTTGCTTGGCTAGTACTTTTACTCTTGGCTAGTACTTTGGCTCTTGGCTAGTACCTTAGCTTGGCTACTACCTCGGCTCTTGGCTAGTACTCTGGCTCTTGGCTAGTACTTTTGCTCGGCTAGTATTTTTGCTTGGCTAGTACTTTGGCTCTTTTCTAGTACTTCGGCTGATGGGTAGTACTTTAGCTCTATGCTAGTACTCTGGCCCTTGGCTAGTACTTTGGCTCATGGCAAGTACTTTTGCTTGCCTAGTACTTTTGCTCTTGGCTTGTACTCCTGGCTCATGGCTAGTACTTTTGCTAGGATAGTACTTTCCTTGGCTAGCACTCCTGCTCTTGCGTAGTACTCTTCCTTGCCTAGTACTTTTAATTTTGGATAGTACTTTGGTTGTTGGCTAGTACTTTGACTCTTGGTTAGTACTTCGGCTCATGGCTTGCACCTTTGCTTGGCTAGTACTTTTACTCTTGGCTAGTACTTTGGCTCTTGGCTAGTACCTTAGCTTGGCTACTACCTCGGCTCTTGGCTAGTACTCTGGCTCTTGGCTAGTACTTTTGCTCGGCTAGTACTTTTGCTCGGCTAGTATTTTTGCTTGGCTAGTACTTTGGCTCTTGTCTAGTACTTCGGCTGATGGGTAGTACTTTAGTTCTATGCTAGTACTCTGGCCCTTGGCTAGTACTTTGGCTCATGGCAAGTACTTTTGCTTGCCTAGTACTTTTGCTCTTGGCTTGTACTCCTGGCTCATGGCTAGTACTTTTGCTAGGAAAGTACTCTGCTTGGCTAGCACTTCTGCTCTTGGGTAGTACTCTTCCTTGCCTAGTACTTTTAATTTTGGCTAGTACTCTGACTCTTGGTTAGTACTTCGACACATGGCTTGCACTTTTGCTTGGCTAGTACTTTTACTCTTGGCTAGTACTTTGGCTCTTGGCTGGTACCTTAGCTTGGCTACTACCTCGGCTCTTGGCTAGTACTTCGGCTCATGGCTAGTACTTTTGCTAGGATAGTACTTTGCTTGGCTAGCACTCCTGCTCTTGGGTAGTACTCTTCCTTGCCTAGTACTTTTAATTTTGGCTAGTACTCTGACTCTTGGTTAGTACTTCGACACATGGCTTGCACTTTTGCTTGGCTAGTACTTTTACTCTTGGCTAGTACTTTGGCTCTTGGCTGGTACCTTAGCTTGGCTACTACCTCGGCTCTTGGCTAGTACTTCGGCTCATGGCTAGTACTTTTGCTAGGATAGTACTTTGCTTGGCTAGCACTCCTGCTCTTGGGTAGTACTCTTCCTTGCCTAGTACTTTTAATTTTGGCTAGTACTCTGACTCTTGGTTAGTACTTCGGCTCATGGCTTGCACTTTTGCTTGGCTATTAATTTTACTCTTGGCTAGTACTTTGGCTCTTGGCTAGTACCTTAGCTTGGCTACCTCGGCGCTTGACTAGTATTCTGGCTCTTGGCTAGTACTTTTGCTTGGCTAGTATTTTTGCTTGTCTAGTACTTTGGCTCATGGCTAGTACTCCAGCTCAAAAGTATTTCAACTTTTGGTTAGTACTCCTGCTTGGCTAGTACTACTCCTGCTTGACTAGTACTCCAGATCAAGTAGTACTTTGGGTATTGGCGAGTACTTTGGCTTTTGGCTCGCACTCCATCTCGAGTAGTACTCTGGTTCTTGGCTAGTATTTCAACTCGGTTAATAATTTGTCTCTTGACTAGTACTCATGCTAGGCTAGTACCCCTGCTCAGTTAGCATTCCAGCTCTCGGTTGGTATTCCGGCTTGGTTAGTACTGCGGCTCTCGGCTACTATTTCAGCTGTCGGCTAGTACTTCAGCTATGCTAGTAATCTTTACCAGCTAATATTCCAGCTCTTATTATTATTATATTACAGATTAAGAACAGCACACAGATAAAAATAATGTTTTGCATTTTATAAGGCTACTTAAAATCATCTTAGCGAACAAATATGGAGATTCAATTCCACCGTGTGGCCATATTGTGTTAAGCCCTCCACTACTTCACAGTAGCCCAATATCGGTGGGTCCTACACTAATTCCAGCGTGGAGACAGATTAAATAGTGCTAGTGCTAAATAAGCTAATGTGTATTTTAATAATCTTTTGTAAGAACATTGTGAATATATAATGCAATATTAATGTGATAAACACAATTCAATTCAGTGTCTAAACTAAATAATGAAAGTGATAGAAAGTGATGTATATACTCACAATGCATATAATATATCTGCTCTATAAAAATTATATTAAAAGACATTACTATCCAAAAACCTCCTCAAATAAATACCTTCTTGTAGTCACCTCCAAAGGGGCCTCTGAAGTATTCCTGCTCGGCTAGTATTCCTGCTCAGCTAGTACTTTGCGCTCTCGGCTAGTATTCCTGTTCGGCCAGTACTTTGCGCTCTCGGCTAGTATTCCTGTTCGGCTAGTACTTTGCGCTCTCGGCTAGTATTCCTGTTCGGCTAGTACTTTGCGCTCTCGGCTAGTATTCCTGTTCGGCTAGTACTTTGCGCTCTCGGCTAGTATTTCTGTTCGGCTAGTACTTTGCGCTCTCGGCTAGTATTCCTGCTCGGTTAGTTCTTTACGCTCTCGGCTAGTATTCCTGCTAGGCTAGTAGTTTGCACTCTCGGCTAGTATTCCTGCTCGGCTAGTACTTTGCACTCTCGGCTAGTATTCCTGCTCAGCTAGTACTTTGCGCTCTCGGCTGGTATTCCTGCTCGGCCAGTACTTTGTGCTCTCGGCTAGTATTCCTGCTCGGCTAGTACTTTGCACTCTCGGCTAGTATTCCTGCTCGGCTAGTACTTTGCGCTCTCGGCTAGTATTCCTGCTCGGCTAGTACTCTGCGCTCTCGGCTAGTATTCCTGCTCGGCTAGTACTTTGCGCTCTCGGCTAGTATTCCTGCTCGGCTAGTACTTTGC